GGGGGGGAGGTTAATGGTAGATGGAATTGGAAGGGAAGCAAGAGGCAATTCTTCAGAAACACGTCCGAAAGCTTCTTCAGCCTCGAAGCCACGAGCGAATAATCTATCAGCAGAACTAGATGGAGGATTAACAACATCTTTATCAGAAATCACTAAAGGAGTGTTTTCTGGCTCATCTATGAGCCTGCAAGGAATTGAACTTGATGGAAGGTCATGAGTGGCATGAGTTTCATCATCAAAAATCACGCGTCTTCTGACGCGCGATTTTCTCACCAAAGAATCTTCTTCTATCTTCTCATCATCATCAGAGCCACGAGCTTCATCAGTTTTTCTTTTGGAGGAAGGAGCACTCAAAATCCGTTTATGGGCAAGACTCACGGAAAGCCTGGTTGATGGAACAGACACGGGACTAATGCCACGAATAGCAAACCCTAATTAAAAAAAAGGGAGGATGAGAAATTTTCGTATAAACAAGTAAGAGAAGAAGAAGAATTGTGGAGGTAAAAAGTACCGTGCGTTTTCACTTTCCAACCGAATTTTTGAGAAAGAAATTTTCAGATCTTTTGTCCATAGGAGCAACAGTTAACATCTTTTCTACCCAAGCATGAAAATCGGGAATCTCATCAAAGACTTCCATAGTTGCTGAACAATGGGTATGTGATTACAAGAAATAATTCGAGATGTATAAAAGGGAAAAAAGAAGAAGAAAACATACGTGCAAAGTTCCATTTTTCTGGGAAAGACATATATTGTTTACCCACTAATCCACTAGTGGGGGCAGCAACAAAGCGGGCGTACCAACAACGGTCTCAGTCATCCTCGGGGCTAACTAACACTCTTTTACATCTAGCCACGAGAGAAAAAACTCCTTCACAAAATAAATTGGGGGAATAAAGATGAAGCAAGTGTCGAAAGGTAAAAGGGAATCAAATCCGATAAATAACGAAGGCATGCTACAACCTTCCACACGATGGGGCCAATTTGGCCAAGACACACATTGAAGTAATGACAAAACTCAATAATTACTGGATCAATAAGAGGCTTAAACCCTAAAGTAAAAGGGTAGGTATAAACAAACGAGAAACCGGCATGATAAGAGGTGATTCTTTGATTGGCACTAGGGACTAAAACTGGGAAATCCGATTTCCAATGACATTCTCGTCGAACTAAGGAAAGAAAACCGGCAATGATTAAACTCGGCTAAAGTTCAGCAAGGTTGAGGGAAGATATAGAAGAGACTTGATTTCTCATGGTCTCACGGTCTGTTATAAAAGAAAACCCTTGAGGAACAATCTCTGCAATTGTAGGTTCACGCACATGTTCATTTAGATCCCTATTTTTAGAAAAAGATCTAAGGGTTAGAAGGGCCTTAGGTCTAGCAGAAGATGGCCTAGCAGAACTACTTTGAGAATAAGAACCACGATTAGATAATGAACCAAGGCTACGAAGTCTACCGCCTCACCTACTTCTAGTAGGGGCTATGGAAGGAGCAAGTTCATCAATAATCACAACTTTGTGAGGGTCTGGTGTCGACGAAGACATGATTATCAAAGGAAATATACAAGAAAGGGTACAGAGATACGAAGAAGGATTGAGGTAATGTATATTGAAGAAGGAAGACTTCAAATAATAAAAAAGAATGAAGTATTTATAAGAAGATACAA